AGCATCAGTTAGCCCAAACAAGAAGTGAAACAATCTCGAAAATGCTTTGCAAAAAGCTGGGATCAACTCGATGACTTTAGCTGCGTGCCACCGCTAATGTTGTCCATCATCGTCTCTGGGGTTGGGGGAAAGCAGAAAGCAACAGATCCCAGTCTCAATGTGCTATTCTGATAAGAGATTAGTGATAAACACTTTTATAAAATTGGTTTGCTCTTTTAGCTTTCTATTCGTTTTCGGGGATGTGATGTCTGTGTAATCATAATTTTGGCCCACCCTGTAGATCGATATCCGCCCAGGCCAACCAAGCCTTCCATCCCTCTGGAGTCGGTGAATTGCTACCAGACCCGTCCGAAAGGATACAAGCACTGACTTGTACACTGACTAGCCACCGCACGTCATTGTATAGGCCACGTAAGCACTCAATGCGCCACTACGATCATGAATGGAAGTGGAATGCGGGGCGCATCTCTCAGACGAGAACGATTAACGCCCCAAGACTTTATACTCTTATCCTCCACTAACAAGAAGCAAAGAGAAATGTGATCATCTAGAAGTAGATGATAAAAATCCTAGTGTAATTGAAAAGCGCACCTGCCATCTGGAGTTGTACAGGACTTGGGTCTGAGTATGAAGATCTAAAAACAATAATGATAATAAATCGACGATGAAGTTCTCCGACAAACTTGTTGAACATCAGCCGCACAGCGTGACTAAATTGTTATATTGATACGGTATCATGACATTTTCATACAAATTGACAAATTGAATGGGAGGGATGAAGTTCTCCGACAAACTTGTTGAACATCAGCCGCACAGCGTGACTAAATTGTTATATTGATACGGTATCATGACATTTTCATACAAATTGACAAATTGAATGGGAGGGTGGAGTTTGTGTGTGGTCGTGCTGCGCATTACCACACGCATGCTCCGGAATCGAATACCGGATCCAGTCGCCCAGGTCGGGCAAGCCTTCCACCCCTCCATAGTCGGCTTTTTGATTCAGAATTGTTTAGGACTGAAGAAGCTCAGAATTGTATAACCGCCAGTAACCGACATACATTGTATTGGTCGAAGTTATATGCGTGGCGCTTGACGAGGGGATCGGACAACACCAAATGACTTTAGTTCTTTACATTATATTAATATTAAAAAGACGATAACATTATCACGATAAAAAGAAGTTACAGAATGATTGTTCACTTACAAATATTAGTATTGCTATACAGAAAAATCCCATCAAGATGAAGGAAGCTTTGGTTATCCGTGATCTTGTTTCAGGCATGATTCGTTGGAATCCTGCTAGGACACGTTCTTTGCAGGACTTTTCCATCACACATTCAGAGGTAGGAATGACGCTGCGACGATTTTCTTCTGATGTACACATCGCAGTTTAGAAACGTCATTAGTATTCTGCCACAACAATAAGCACTTTGAGACTATTGATCTAGAAAGGGGATTTTTGTATGTTGCCCGAATCGGTAGCGTAAAACACTTATTAAGGGGTTTTTGACAGAAGGAAGGGAACTTTTAGAAAGGTTCAGTGGCAGCTGCACGCTGGAAGACCACTGTATGTGGATATCAATGGGTAGGTGTTAACAAACACTCAAAAAATACATTTAAAAAAGAAATCGACGGAAGCACACAAAAGATTGCGATATCGTGTTTCTTCCCTTAATTTTATGATATGAGGAGGTGCTAAGCTGTGTATTTCCAAAGTTGGACTAACTATCTCATTCGGTCAAGCTCTGCAGGACGGCAAAAAAGTTTATTTGAGAGTTGTCTGATTTTGAGGCTAGCTTTCAACTCAAAAGGATATCCCGTCTATCGTACAGTACCAGTCGTGGAGAATTCCATTTTCACGTGGAAAAGCGAACTTTTCTGCATATTGATTTATGTTAAAATTGATTGATCATTTCATCCGCATATACCGTTGAACTCTGGTCACTAGCTAAACAACATGGTGCTTCAGAAGTCTAAAAAATCTCTTTCAGAATGGCTCAACCTCGAAAATGCCCTCCATTTCTACGGCGCATCTCGTCAGAGTTTGAGAATTGGCGATAGAATAGCTCAGCAGCTTCGACGTACGGTCAAGGATTTGCAGGAATTTCGTGGATGCTTGTTCACAAGCTCTGTTATAGAGCCTTCAATAATAGTACGCACAGCATCGGATTTTCTCCCCGAAAACGGCGTCGAAAACGAAGACCGTTGCCGCTTACCGTGGGAATTTGGGGAGAAGTTCCTGTGCCCCACTTCACCCAGCTGAAATGACCATCTTTCATTTTCTTCCATCAGCTCACTTCATAAAAATGATTTCTTAGGTTTTTTTTCTGAGATGAAGCTGTGACCACCTATGGAGGAAGTCATTTCACCTTTGAGAGGTTTCTGGCATGGGTTTGCCTTCAATGTTGCTCGAACTGCAGCTCTCTGCTCGAGCTCCGTTCAGCTACCCGAAAGAGTGTTGCGGTAGTACTTGGGCCCGAGAATGAAAACGGCCCTACTTTTTCTATTATAATAGGTATATGATGTAAGATGAACACCATTGGCATATTTCATTAGTCGTTATTTTACAACTGAACTTCAAAGATACATTCCGCGATTAGAGTAGCTCACTACCGGTGTAGAACTCTTGCTCATGGGTGGGGAGGCTCAACGACTCCGATCAGCTTCTTGGTGTACACCTCTTGGGTGCTAAGCGGTTCTGGCATGACGTTGAGCCCGATCTAGTGGGACGTCAAACTGTGCGACCTAGAGCCATATACCCAAAGCCCTTTCACTGGGAATAAGCGAAATAAGCCTTCAGAACCATACTGGGTCGTAATCGTTTTATACTTCCCAACTCCACCTCCAATTCTTTCTGAGAGCAGGGCAGGGGAGAGAAAGTAGGTGCGCCAAGCTTTTTGGAGCATGCCACTCACACCTATGCATATACTTAATTCGTGCCATTCGGGTCTGTGCCCCGCATTTCTCTCCCAGATAGATGCAGATAACCTAATAAGTAAGTTCTCATTAGGTTATCTACAACATTAGGACTCATCGCGGAATGTGCCTTGACGAGAATTTCCTTTAACAATTGTTAATACAAATGATTTACAAAAAATAGGACATGTGAGGTATGAAAATCACAATTGTATAGAGAAATTATGACAAAAACAACAGAACAGTTATACATAAGAGTAAAGAAATAGCCTAGAAATCGTCATTTTAATACATATACTGAATATTCACAATGATACCCGCTCGGTCAAGTGATAATCACGATAGAATTAATCGGAAGAGAACAGTTTCCGATGGCGAAGAACTTTTTTTCAATCTATTAAGGCAAGTCTAAGTAGGAGGACCTTTGATTTTTCATTTTTGGTCTACTGACTTGCTTTTCCTTATGAAGTGGATCCTTTCTATAGAAGTTCACTTCAGCTCCTCCCTATATCGTGGCTATAAGAGAATGTTCGAGGGGCGACTTTGCTGAGAGGAAGTCAGAGATGGAGCTAAGGAAGGAAAGGGCCTAATGGGAAAGGTGTGGAATAAGGTATCAAGTGGATCTGGCAGACCACACAGACCCTTGGATTCCCTTAGCTCCTTGGGTTCTATACCTGTCGAAGGGAGGCGTATATGATTGCATTGCCGGGTCCCCATATACTGGATAACGCAAAGAGAGACACAACACTGAGGCCTTCTAGATCAGGCTATACCTTCGACGCTAGTGGAGAGGGAATCCCGATCCGAATTGATGCTTCTCCCGCGAAGGCAACCTTCTCTAGCGGCAGGGGACCAAGAATTATTGTGGATCCACTTCACTGAGAAAAGTAAGCAAGTGGAGGAAGAAGAAAAAGGAAGAGGAACTCCGTATTTGGTAACGAATGGACGATTCAAGTTCCGTAAAGGGAATCAGCACTACAGTACAACAAGAAATACTACTTTGACATTGATAAACAATTTGCAGATTCAAAAGTGGCAAGAAAAAAGAAAACGAACCCATTAAGAGAAAAATGGCAAAAAATATGGCTACTCGGGCATACTCTGAAACATTCCGAAGAAAGAAGAGGGCAAGTATAAATGCTAATGAGTTGACGCTTACTAGTCAACACTAAAGCTTTATCGTTGATGGACGACTGGAATGTATTGTTGATATGGTTTGACTGCGAGAATTACGTTCTATTTCACAGTCTCCACCAGAAGAACCTTCCACTGATTTCTGGTAAATCCTGGATGAACCGTAGGCCAATTCTTGCCTCACGCCGATCATCGTGAAGAACGAGCGACGTATCTGCAATGTAAAGTACATTCAGATAGAAACCTTCAAAGGCACAGTTTATGATAAAGATAGTTCCCGTGATATCCCTTTACGATAATCTCCCGCTTTCCGAATATCCCATATTTGTCGTTTCTGGCTCAAAAAACGGCCTGAACAAGGGGTGATGGCTAGCTAAGAAGATAAGAGGCTAAGGGCTAAGAAGCCTCCACCGTAAGCCACACCCACGGATGGCCGTGTTTCAGAGGCCTTAAACAAGCCGCACCATTTACAATAGAGTTGACATGCTGATTGTGAGACTCACATAACTATTTGTTACCCATGGCGATGGGGACCACTATTTCTGGCATTTACAGCTTCTTGTGGCCAGTTTTGTGCAACTGCACACAACTAGCAGCTCTTCTAAACATCCCTCCCATGCCACTTCTGTCGTGTGTTCAAGGTGACATGGTCCCAGACATCGCTTAACTCTCTAAATCGGCTCCCACAATTGAGCCAAAGGCTAAACTATGGTTATTGATTTTCAATCAGAGCTGGAAATGGGACTTAGCATCTGTCATGAGTAAGCATGAAAGATAACTCTTTGGCAGAAGCAGGTGCATGCGCCCTCCCAGAATCGTTGATTTCTAGCTGCACCAGAGCAGCAAAAACAGAAAATGGTACTTACAACTTTGACACTCCACACGTTGTAGAAGAAGTTTCGGGTTGCTTACCTGGTAATCAGTTGCAAATGACAGTATGGGATCGACAAGGATCCGGAGCAATAATGTACATCGTACAATTGCAAGGATTCGCATCATTTCCGCATAGTTACGTTGGAAGAAGCACTGATCCTGATTTATCACGAGCCCGACGCACCTGTAATAAAGAAGTATTCGCAATTACTTTCATCTGTGTGCTCAGAATTCCTTTGTAAAGTTGCTACCAAGCTACCAACGGTGTTCGGGCCAAGTTGTCACCCACCCAAGTCAATCTATTTTCACAGTGTCAATCTATTTGTCATGACACCTTCCGTTTAATTTCCTATAGGGAGACTCGTCCCTCGGAGGATATTACGTTTATATGCAAAATTTCACTCACCAAATAACGTAGAACAAGTAGAGCCCAGCGAAGGTGCCAACATTGAGTGCGAGTTTCCATAATGGGAATCGTACACGTCGACCACCTTCTGATTTTGTAGAGTCTCGCTTCTTGAAAGAATCCACAAACTTTTGCGCACGCCGGATCAACAGCACTAAAAGACACATCCTTGGGCTAATACGTAAGCTACACTACTCACTGTAAAACTATGGTTCNGATTTTGTAGAGTCTCGCTTCTTGAAAGAATCCACAAATTTCTGCGCACGCCGGATCAGCAACACTGAAAGTCACATCAATGGGCTAATACGTGAGCTATACTACTCACTGTAAAACTATGGTTCATAAATAGATTGCATGAATCATAAATCGATAGTGAGCGTCGTTATGGATTCGAAGATAACCTACTGAGGGATAGGTTGATTCAGTGTAAGAACGGCATTTGGTGTTCCTCCAATAAATGTGGTTTGGGGGCTTTAAAATGAGCCTTAGAAAGATGAATAACTCTGAACGACACACTTAAGGGACGCCTAAAAACTGGAAGGAAGCCTGTGGTAATACGGACACGTTGTATAGAAGAAGAAAGCAAGAATTTCCCCGCCGACGACCTTGGCTCATCGAAAGGGAGAATCTAGGTTTCCCAAAGACTTTACCACCAGGATGTATATTGTCATTGGGGTATCTATTATAGATTCTCCCCATCGGTGGGCCAGGGTCAACTACAAGTCCAATTCCCTGCTTTACCCTTCTTATTGGCTTTTCCTTCTTTAGCTGATCACGCGAAGCCATATTTTCGTTCTTTTTTCATACCCCGTCATCTTTTTTCACAAACTACACCCTAGGAATTTGATGAATTATACTCCAAAACTCATGCATGAACAAATGCAAAGGAAGAGAGCCTTGCGGAACGACCAGTTATCTCGTAAAAAAAATTTTACTCAATATTTATGCTTTTTCATTAATTCAAACTCACCAGTTATGAAGAAGACAGACAACGTGAAGGCGTACACACTGACCGTGACAAAGTTGCGAGCTCTAAATAGTAAATGAATGAATAGAAGATAAAAAATATGCTTTGGATTTCGGGAAGTCAACATCATCACTCATAAACAGATTTGTGAAAGACCGGATTCCTTACCTGTACATATTTCTGAGACATGTTTCCATTCTGCAACCTGACCATTCATTCAGTGAGGGTATTTTCACTAATGCCGAAATACCAAGGGTATAGCTGATCATCAAAATGAACATCACCCAACTGAAAGAAGTTTATTTGATGTAAAGGACAAATATGTAGGTTCAATACCGTGAAAGCTAATGATCGGTACGATTCTCAGGTGGCCACCCAATCACGACACGCCCTGGGCCACCAGCACGTTCCTAAGTGGCTTAATGACAACTGCCACCAGGGTGCGCTTCGTTGCGCGTGTCCGTCGAAACTAGGTCACGCCGCAGCCGTCGCATGCGGCGGGTCAGCCCGCGATACTTGANAGACGTCGCAGCTGTAAGCGGGGCATACGATTTGCGTTTTCTCCACGGTAGTCAGCCAAAAAGAAGATCACATAGACAAATGCAAATCGTTCGCTCCACTCACACTTGGTGGTACTGTAATGTCTTCTCGAGACCTCAGTGCAGTGCGCCGCGCGCGAAGTGGGCGGGGTGACCTACTTTCGAAGGACACGCGCAACGGACGTTAACCACCATAACCCCTTACCTACACCCTCAACCAGACTCTTACACACCTGACAGAGGGGAATCTATGGAGGAACTTAAAAGGATATCAAGAGAATGGAGCCTTTAATCAGCTACGTACTCAGTTCACTCACCTGAATATGATTAAATTGATGCAGCGCTTCATTGTAAACCATTTTCGGTATTGGAATGGTTTCCATACAGCAAACAGCTGAAAAATTGGGTTCCTTATCAAGGTATTAAATCACACACAGTAGAGAAAAAGCTGACTGCACGAACCTTAAGGACTGAAAGAGCCACATAGGATACCATTGCAGACCAAAATGATCCAATGAAAAACGATTCCATCAAAATCACCATGTCACGGCTGGAAATAAGGATTTATATAATCGATCAATGACTTGAATTTTTTTCATTCTTTTCTGGCCATTTCTATTTCTAAACAAACTTTCCTTATTTGGATAAAAGACCCCTTTATCGAGGCTTTAACACGGGGACTTTTTTGTATCCGTATTTTAGACGGACCACATGACAAGCAGATGCAAGCAATCAAAATGTCCCTAGTGTTGGCTTATACTTAACGAGTGAATTTTTCACGGGAAAATATCGATGAAAAGGCTATGAGTGGTTGTAGTTCGTCGGTAATCTGCCCCCAGAATCTCCGAGTTCCCATGATGGCCTGTTCCGTACTGATCGCTACAACACTCACTTTATTTCGTGCCACATCAACACGTAACCACAGACAAGCAGTGCAACAATGCAGGAGACCAGATCGCCAACGGCTCTGTTCAGCAACAGGATATAGCATTTCCGACTGACCACTCTAGCTTTAATGGCCTAAAATGATCCAATAATGGCTGCTAATTTGTAGGGAAGTGAGCATTTCAAGCTTTCTAAAGCAAAAATATACAAAAATGAACAGTAGGGCTGGACAGTTCTTACTCGATATGTTGCAAGTATGAATAGTGTAACAAGGAGAACTCCCAGCAATGCTAGCGGTAATACCACCCAACCGAAGAAGGTGCGAAACACATTGTCGATTCGAAGACCTTGACGACGCTGAAAAATATTTAAAAAAAATAATTTGCAATGGCTGGCTTTCTATACTTGTGAGTCCCCTATATCATAGAAATGTCCTCATTACTTCTGCTTCACTATATGTTACCTCCTTATTAGCTGAGGACTGGGTGAGCTACCTACGTTCACAGATCCTTCTTTTTTCATTTTTCTTCGTTTTTTTCATTTTTCTTCATTTTTTAAATTTTTTTGAAGCCATCAAATGAACACTCTACGCTGCGAAAGTCCAATTTCCTTCGAGTTGACTCGTGGCTTGGATGGCTTCGTTTTTTACAGTTACTTTCGGTACATCGGGATGTGGGTTAAAGCCACTATTACACAAATCATGGTTAACTCCTTTTAAGCTAGGGATTCTGAATTCAGGAAAAAAGAAGGTTGCGGACAAATACTTACATGTGAGTGCCGATAAGCTATGGCATAAAAATCATTAATAAGACGAGGGTAAGCGGGATCTGGGTAGTGTAAGGGATAAGAGCACGGGACTCGGGATAGGTATGTAGTGTAAGGGATAAGAGCATAAGTATGGATCTAGCCCCACCAGAAGAGAAGGTCTGTCATGAAACTACTACCAGAGATACCCATTACCTGTAATGTAGTCGTTTGAACTCGTTACAGCCCCAGATACTTATTGAGGCCAGTGAATGGGCGATCTTGTGCGTATGGGAACGAATTCATTTCCTTAATTCAGTGTGTCCCCGAATTGGTTAAGCCACTTACGCTCTTGTATGTGACGCCTTTGTAGGCATGTCCTTCACATCACGTGAAAAACTTGAACAGTTCCCATTGTGACCTCGGCCTGGCAAACAGCCTTACAAGACAAAGATCTTTCGAGCATTCCTTACACTCTCACGCTTGTCAAAATCAATCACCAAAAAGAACCCCTCGTTATGTTGACAACGACACTTCTTTGCCAAATACTACTTGGCGAGTAAGGGAGGACCCTGTTTTGCGGCATTTAAACGCTGAAAAAAAAGGCGGTGCAAGTGATTTTGCTTCAAAAAATTGATGGAACACTGTGGTTCGTCTTAATAAGAAGTGAAGCAAAGCATTCCGTTAGTTAATTTTATTATCAATTTTTTCTTCATACATGTTTGGTGATGACTAAAAAATTTCTTTCATCAATCTTTGGCCATTTCAAGTTCCCGAACAGCTCCGGAATGCCCTGCAGACTCTTGGGTTCGAGCCCAGCCTTAACTACGTATATCACCTAGTCTACCTGCTTTGATTGAGGTGGAAGCTCCTTTAATAAGCCCATTCATATAAATTCCTGAATCTCTCCCTAGTACTTCCTACCCTCCTCCCTCATCCCCTTCTTAAAAAAGGGATTTGAGATTTATCAGAGCAATTGAAAAAATAGGAGGAAGTTTCAATAAAGATTCAATATTCTTCTCATAGAAATCATGCTATCGATCCTTGTTTTTTAATGAATTTTCGTGATGGGGATGACATCACGAAAATTCATTAAAAAAGAAAAAAAAGACTGAGAAAAGAGAAGAAGAAATGGGGATGGAAAATGCTCGTTTTTTACTAGAAGACCGGGATCCAGTCCTTCCTAAGTTGACTAATCTTTCAAGTTTTTCGTTTAAGAGATTAAAACCTAATAAGCTTAAGTGAGCCAAGTATAGTTTGTATCTAAATGATTTTAGAAATCTGGTCCTATGAAATCAGGTGTCTCTTTCTGGAGAAAAAACAACTTTTTACATCATTTTGTCTCCTTTCCATTTACAGGCTATCTCAAAATAACAACGAAAATCAGGAATTCTTTCCTATCACTTCTACAAAGCTGGTTTCTTTTCAAATTGGCTCATATTGCAAATGCCGCTGTTGATTTCCAGGTCATTAAAGGTGGTACCGGTTTGTGACGGTCGTGTGAAAGCGGTTCTGACCCTTGATGAATGGCATTGCAAGTTTCTACCGACGATAAAAAAGTTATAGATCGCTAATCACTTAACATACATCTGATTCCACAATTTGCTTCCATCTAATGCACATTTGCCGGATAAGGCTGAGAATCGTGTTCTTCGGAAATACCGTACCTTATGCACTGGTCTAGCATGATACAGTCAGTTCGCCCATATTTTTGGCCATTCCCTTCGAAAGGATTTACAAAAACACAAAAATAATGAGCCAATAAGAATGCTAGAGAATCGTGGTTTTGGTAGAATAACGGAGAAAAAGCACAGTGCCTGTGAAGCACAAGTACAGGATCGAGTCCAGTCTGAGGCCAAAATTTCCTCCCAACTCGCCAATTTTCTGAAGCTTTCGCATCGATCTACGGCAAAATGAAAGCACTTAAAGAAATTCAAACCAGACAAAATTCTTGGAGGAGTAAAGCGCTCCACATTGATTTGGGTTACTTTTGGTCGGAGAAAAACTCTGGTGGCTTCAACCCTCTTAGAGCTCACTTACTTGGTAGGTATTGAACTATTGAAGGATTACTCCGTCCCTCTATAACCGATAGTCTCAGAGCCTTTAGACGACTGAACAAACTGAATGGTCGAATAATAGAACGAAATTTGCAAGATAATTTTATTTAAAATCAATCATCATATGCATTCATTGGAAAACGATTACATTCCAAAGGAATCGGCCTGTTCCGACCAGTTTTTCGGTGTCTGCCCAGTGATTTTGCGACAGCAAAATGTGTTTAGAAGTCAAGGAAAGAACAAAAAGGCATACTTCTGTAAATGGTGAATTTTTTCGGAAATCGGTGTAAATGGCATACAATGATTCCTTAATTCAGCCCCTCAGTTCGCAAAAAAAGTTTTTTCTCCATTTTGAAGAATGAACCTTGAAAATGTACCTTAAAAAGGTCGATACGTTCGTCGGTAGTAAGATTGAAGAAGCAATCGGTACGAACGTTCGAGCTCATGCCACTTAGCTCTCAACACGAAAAGAGGTTACGGTAGTGGTGCAGACCAGATCCAAAGTCTACAAAGAAGTAATTCCAAGTGAGAGGTTCAAAATATCGATGTATAAAAAAATATCGGCGGAAAATCACACTGTGATCCTATTGATCGAAATATTGATTACTTAGCAGAGCACAGCAAAGAGGGACCATAAGTTGAAGGAGACGAAAAGCTTTCAAACTCAACTTTGCGACTTTGGTTTTTTTTTTTTGCAAAAAAAAATATCATGGAATCAGATGTGCCGGAAGCTGTCGATAAGCCATTGAAAATAGGCTATCATGATAGTGAAGGAGTGGAGAAAATTCAAATGCCAAAAAATAAACTCAAAAGTAAGGTACCGGAAGGAAAAGGTAACTCGTAAACAACACAAGTGAAGCAGAATATAACACGAATGGCTTGGCACGAATGCCTAAGCGTTCGGGTGGGCAGGAAGTGACGTTTCGTCTTACCATTAATGGGCTTTCTAGAGAAAATTCCTAATGAGTTTCTCCTGACAGTATGAAAAAAATTGACTCGACTGAGCTAATTAACAGCAGGATGCATGTTCCTTCAAAGCCACACCATCATTAAAGGGAGTTCAGAAATGTATTCTGAGAATGTTCAAGCTTCGAGAAACCAAATTGAACCAGAAGTTATGGCCACGTCGAACGTCCAAGTGAGAGCAATCGACCGTTGCGTCACATTGAAAAGTTTTTTATTTGCTGAGAATTTCTTTGAAGTGAATAGGAATCGGACACATACCACAGAATTCCGAGCTGTAAGCTAGAAAAACTCCGGATCAATATTCGCTCTGGGAAACCGATGCTTTCCGGTCCGCCAGGGTAGGGTTATTGGTACCAGACTCGTCTGGGAGGATAGGAGTCTCGTTGTACATCGGTTGATGACCGTAATTCATTGAACAGGTCACACCCGCATTCGAACGCCTCGGGAGGGTGAGGAGGAAGGGGTGGAGGGTGCCATCCAGAAACGGAAATGTCAACACCATCATTCAATACCTTTTTAACAGCTAGCCATCAAGTCAGAAGAGATTTTGTAGCAAAAATTTCCAAAAATAAACATACCAATGACCATAAAAAAGTGGGGAGCGGGCTCGCACAGAGGTACGACCTCCCAGGAACCGCAGCATAACTGCCGTATTATTTGTTTGATTTAAAACTCTTCAGAGGCTTGCATGAAAGCTTTATTAGGCTTTCACCTGGGCGGTGGAGATGTTTCTCACAGTCACAAGTTGTGACGGTCCCTTCAGGCACTGTATAGGATGATTCCGCCGGAACGCCAATCCGATGAAGCTGTTGCAAACCTCGTGAAGAGTTCCAGGCAACAACTCAATTATATGTACACAAGACGTAGAGATACTGTAAGAAATGGGAATGAATGAACGAATGGATAAATATGGTCTCATGAAAGAACAAGGTGGAGTTCAAAACCTCCTAAGGATCTTTCTGTATAGGCATTTTTTGAGCGAAAAATGACGACAAGCTGTACTTAGCAAGGCCAAACAATTTAAAAGGGGAGTTTAACTTATTTATCAAAAATTACTCTCATAAGTGGCCTATACGTATGTTGCTATAGGGTTTCCGGGGTTGTTTATCATATCTGACAATGACTAACAGTTGTTGATCGGCTAAAGGGTAAGGAAACATAAAAGGGTCTCATTCAAACTGTTTACCATTTAAACGACCAGTTTATTTGAATCGATAAATGTCTCGTTGACAATACAGAAGTGGTTTTGTCGAAGGCCATCCTAAGAGGGGCGACTGGGGAATCAAAAACCAACGCCCTCTTCACAGCTGGGAACCCACCTGTAGGGAACTTTTACAAAGTGCTGGTAATGGTATGAATAGGAAAAATCAAAAAATCAAAATTAAAAATCAAAAAACTATCTTAAGAGAAGAATTTTATTACTTTTTTATATATATTTATATTTATTTATATATTTTTTCCACATTCCAATTTTTTTCGAGTGCGCCATGAATTCGAGTCCCAATGAGAATTGTAAGGCTTTGAGCTGATCTTTGGCATATGCGGTCACTTGAGAAGCCAGACGAAGTCGGCCTTGCATAAGTCGATCTTTTAATCCTACTGGGTAAGCCCGCTATCAGCCGATCGGTCTAGGAGAGGTAGAAGGCTTCTTCGACTTATTCGGTTTAGGGTCCGATACGCAGGGCATAAGTATGAGCACAAAACTTTGTGCCACCCCCGCGCTACCGTTTCTTAGAATAGGAGTAGGTGAAGGTGGAACGGACCGCATTGAAACGATAATAGTGGCGTCTAGAAGAGATTATTATCTACCGGCAGCAGTTTGTTTTTTCCCGGAACCGCAACCTTTACTGGTGGTCTGTAATGTGTTCCGGCCTTAACTCGCTCCTTGACGCAATTGCGTCTACGTCTTTCCTTGCCTTCGAGATGCGCCATACATTTTTATGAGACCTATACATCAATACTACTTTCCCCACTTTATTACCATGATCAAACTTTAATTCAATTGTTAATTTGTTTTTTTTCTGGCTAAATATTTCAAAGCAAGCCTAAAGAAAAGGGAAATTGCATTCTGGCTAGGCTGTCAATGAGCAGTTTCATGCATAAGTTCTCAGCCTTCTATCGTTTCAACTAGGCATAGTCCAAAGCAAATATTCGCTCCCATACCGGAGGCTTGCAAAAGGGACCTAGATGGACAGCATGACCTGACATCAGAAAAAGACGGTCATTATGGCTTATAAGAAAAGGAAACAGGAAAGTGGTCTTCACCAACATTCAGCTTTTCCAAAGCGTAGATGCAATGCGAAGGGTGGAAAAATCTAAACAGAAACGACTTCACAACCCAAGTCCATAGTCCTTAAAAGTTTATTTGAACGGGCTGAGTTTCAGTTTCTGGACGGTTTTTCTTTTTTTTTGCGGAGGACAGTTTCCTCAGGAAAAATATTTGAAAAAATATTAAAAACAGAAAAAATTAATTGAAAATATTAATATTATTCAGTCGAAAGAATATGAATATTGGAGACATCGTCTAATATATGCGTAGATGAATAAATTCCGAAGAAAACAAATTAATTCGGGGAAAGCACATATCCAGTGCAGTGGGAAGATGAAGGTACGTTCCAGATTTCGAAGACGATTGCTTCCTACTAGCTGAGACCTTCATCTATCTTTGTCTCCAAGTTGAAATAATTTCATAAGCCTAGAAAATTGTATTGAGTCAAACGTTTGAACAGAGATACAGTAAAAAGCATCGTTGTTCCCATTTTCAATGCAACCTTAACTAAGGATCCGAAAAAAGCTCACTACACCTTCCCATATCAGTGCTTGAATGGTTACAATTTTATTATAAGAATAAAAGTGGTTAAAAACATTATCGATCGATCGGCTGCAGAATATTGCAATAAAACTGCACCGTATTGATTTGTTAAAGTTCCAAATGTCATGAATTTAAAATTATTAATAATCCATATTTATACTTTGCTAATCTAAACGATACAATGGATCAGCCATGAGGGAACTACCAGTACTGTCTTCCTGGACAAGTTTTGTTCCCATTATCCATTCTGGACCCATTAACCTCTCCATTAGTCTGGGAGTGGCCTACATCATATCACATTAGATACATCTGCATCTGTAAAACTGCGGGGCAGTGATACGGTCAGGATAATGAGTAGACCCGTCCGGCTTAACACGGTGGTCAGTACTCATGAACTCCCATAAAACTATTTGCATATTTATGCTACATTAAATGATAGATACTATAATATTGAGATCAATGTTATGGGGGCTATTAGGAATGGATCTACCATCGAGTACACTGACTTGGATGCTATCCTAAATGGTCTCGATAAAACCCCATTTTAGCAGGCGCCTATACGACCCCATTAATCCACTTTTTCCAGGAATCGTCAACACCCACAGCTAATCTAACTCCTGCTGTACCTATAACATGGTCTAGCCTAACTAGTTTTCCAAGAGTACTGGGCGTAAAGCCTGTTCAAGCAATGGGACCAATGATGGGCCAAACACGTAAAATACCCTAGAAATTCGGTTTCTTTTCAAATAAGCGCTCAATATTGAAAGACCGCAAAGCAACTGGTTTAAAAGAATCTGTGATTCATTTTCAAACTGGTAACAATGAATTGAGTTTTTTGTCATAAGTGATTTCGATAGGAAGATGATAGATATTGTGATTCGATTTCGAGGCCTTCATAGAGATTTCTGGTTAACTCTTGCTGAATCATTCGTCAAAAATGCAATGAAAAAATATTATTTTACTCTCTGAAGGAGCAAATTCGGTATCTTCTTGTCCTCACACCAGAAAAAGAGCTGCGGAAAATCAAAAGAAAAATGCCGAGCACCAAAAAATTCACGTCCAAATGTCTCAGGCCATCGAATAGGGTCTCTTTTGGAATGTAGTTGTTTGCCAACAAAATTATAGACCCTAAAAAATCGTGAGGTTCGCAGCAGTCGGATAGACGACTGGTAGTGAGGGTGAGGGGGCTTTGATCCTTCTAATGATGGCGCAGCTCAACTGCATTAGCAATTCCATGCAACAAGAATGTGCCCAGCGATTTTCGCTGGTCAGTAGTTCGCATAGACGAGGCTTCCCAACAGTGCTATGGGTGATTTTTTGATTTATTTCGAGAGGATCCAGTAGAGATAGAACGTAAAGAATGGCTCTGGAAAATCTGATGAAGCAGTTGATAACATCAGTCTGGGAGAGTAAAAATGTCTCTCCCACCTTGAGTGATATGGTAAATTAGCTCCTCGGATCTCGTCGGAAATTCGAGCCGACACCTGGAAGCCACCAAAGATTGCTTGATGAAGACAGCTGACCACGCGGACAGCACAGATCAAGGTTAGGGACCTTACTTTCAAGGTGTAGGTTAAAGACAGACTATCATACACATGGTCTGGGGATAAGATCCCCACTAACCAAGCCAACCAAGCCTTTCATCCTTCCTGATGGGCAAAATTGCTA